TACGGCAGTGAAGCATCGGTGTTGAACACTGATGTCATGCTGTCGATGATGATGAGTGAGCATCGGCCATGTGTGAAAACGAAGTCGAGTTCAAAACTCCTAAAACAATCAGAGGCCAAGTCTCCAATGTTATGTAACCTGTCTATACAAATGAGGTTTGAATCTAATAATCTCTTAATTTGCTTGCTTATTTTGTGTCCACTCATGTTCTATTTTGCCTGTTCGCAATTTTTCTCATATGTACCCAAAGACGCGCCTCATCGCGTCCAATGAGATCCCTCGTCAACTGTGTATGGATGTCATACCAGCAATGCCTTCATGAATACACATGTTCGTACATCTCCATACAGTTTTCCAAGTATTCCCTTTTTTTAAAATTTGTTGTCACGATTCCCCTGCTGCCTTCAAGACTGAATTTCAGGGACGTTCAGTTTCCTACCTGGTGTTTTATTGTCATTAACAAGGCACTGACAATACGCTGAAGTCTCATCAATCAGACAGGACTCATCAAACAGGTTCTCATCGCAACAATATCTTCTAGCAAGGACAATAAAATGCAGAATGTATGAACGAAGTAAGTAAACTGTTATAACATTTTGCTCTTAAGGATATCTGGATATCTGGATATCGCTGGATTGATTAAAACCTACGATAGAACTGTAATGTCTTGGATTCCATATGTTCACAGAATCTTGCAGGCTCCAGGTGATTTTACACGTCGATTCAAAATAGGGTACCGACGGTACCTAACAGACAGCTTGAACTACTAAATTAACTTACTTAGTAGGCAGCTGGGTTCTAGTCAAACTTCGGTGACAAAAGACCTGCTTTTAGATCTTGTAGAATTAACTAAGCGATGGACACTGAAAGTAGAAAAAGGCTTTTCTCATAAAGGAAACTACTCACAAGGTTACTGAAAACTCTTCGACAGCCCATGATCGGTTTCGCCCTTCTCGGGGCTCATCAGGTAGGCGCAGTTGAGTCTCTCATGGAAACCAAATCGATTTGCAAATGAGTGTATTTCCCGAGAAAATGGCTTGTTCCACACTCTATAGTCCTCAGATTTCACAAAAAAGTACCACCTTAAGGGACAGGATAACAGCTGTCGTTTTTTAAGTCAGATTTTCATTGCACAATGACTGCCTCACCATTATCATCAACCTCATCAACATCATCACCATCATCATCATCATCATCGATAGCACAACATCAATGTTCATCGCTGAGGTTTCACTGCCGTAAATATTTAAAGGATTTGCAAAAATTGCCCTCTTTCCATAAGTTGACAAATGTTTTATCATTATTTTTTATAGTATAGGAAGTCTGCAGGCAATCGTCCTTGACGGGGTTGTCAGATGAAGAGTATGATGGCGCCAGTGTCATCCATAGTTTTTTATGTGGTTAGTCAACTACAGACTGTGTCCTGGTTCATTAAAAAATACAGCCTGATCTCGGTTGGGGAGGAACACGTTTTGTCCTAGTCTCGTTCTTTACGTTTCCAGTTGGTGGATGGGTAGGACTCATCAGACGCTATGACGGGTGATCCTAATTTCTGCATAGGTTAGAGGCGCATAAAACTGTAAAATCTTTAAGTTGGATGAAAGCTCCGTTTTCAGATCTATCACAGATGTTCACACAAAAACGCGTCAAAAATAAATGATTTGAATTTAATTCTCTCTTGATGCACTTGATTCCTCATCTGTTAGGGAGGTGTATACCCTAGCTACAGGACCAAATGAACCGTTCACTTATCTGTTGCAGCAGCTTTGTCGAAACTTATCCGTAAAAGCTGGAACATTACTGTTAGTCAACTGTATTACTACCGGTCTCCTGAAACTACCTCCGGATTGAAAGGCGTTCATTTGTAAACTAACTTGGTTTTAGTGGGAAACCTGGTGAGTCTTAAATGAATCCCTTGACTGCCACTTTCCTCGAAGAATTGTTCCGCACAAAGACGGCCCCACGCTTCAACTGGTACGACATCGCGTTATATTTTCTCAAGGAAACGCTACTCACAAGGTTTTGGAAAACACTTAGTCCATGCACAGTTTCATCCTTCTTCGAGATCACCAAATGGGTGCCCTCCGCGAGTCTCCATGAAACCTACGTTCGTCTTGAATCTAGATTTACGAAGCTCATGAAATACACCAAGCAGATTCAATTAGAACATAAGGTAGAGGGAAACTGGGGGACAGCCTCTAGATGGTGATCCTCCAGAAGCACGAGATCGGTCGTGGGTAGCCGAAACGTTTTCAGAAATCTCATAGGTAGTGGGTTCCGTGAGACAAATGTATGCCGACATCTCAGTTGTCGTATCAATGGAAACAGGGGCTGGTCCTTGTGAAGCAGAATACCATACAGGAGAGCTTAAGATGCGATTCATTTGAGTCTCCCGTGAAACCTGAATCAATTTACAAATGAGTGTAGTCCGTGAACTACATTCAGTTTATCTTCAAGGTCGATGGAAACTTGGATAGTAAGTCGACCAGATGGACGTGAAAAAGAACGAAACGGGTGGTGGGTCATCAAAACCGTCCTTGAACCTTATGAGTAATATTCCCTTCAGGAGATCTACATCATCTTTCAGTTGTGTTCTGCTTAATCTCAGCATAGTTATGCTGGAGAGTTAAATGTAAGTTACGCACCATTGGGCTGGTGCCATTTTAATGAGGTCCACTGTGGATTACACGTCTGGATGAAACTTTGGATAACAAACGGAAAGAATTAGAGAGCAGCTAACTTCTTGGCTTTCCAAACGATTACCACTTATGACATTGCTACGAGTGTTGCCGTTTTCCATATCAACCAGCGATAAATCTCAGGGTGAAATTGAAAATAATAACGAGTAAGTACATCGCGGACTAGTGTTTAAAGTTTGACGTCGATTTGCCTTGTATGATTTCGGGGATGGCTTCAGCTCTTTTCATGTTTGGATCTCTTATTTCAAGCTCTGTCAACCCCGTCCTACTTTCTGACTAGGACGGGCAGTATCAATTTCCTGTCAAACTACAAAAAAATCAAATGTTTTCACAACTTGTCCTTGTATTTCCTTGCCTCAGAATTTGTTTGAATCTTATTCACATCATTAAGCTAATTAACAAGCTCATGTGCAAATTTTATCATCCTCGTTCGTGAACAGGTGTGGGAGGGATAAGTCCCTCACGCAAGATGGGATACCTATTCTCTGTTCACGTGACTGCATTTAATTACCCTCGCAACGGTAAACAATGTGTACATACGGAGTGAAGAAACGCGGATCGCACGCATGCCAGCGTATTTTGTTCACGTTGTTTGTTCCGATCATTTCCTTAAGGTCAAATTAACGGCTTGAGCGTACCGAGCACTTTTCTGTGAGATGATGATGTGAGAATGATGATGAACTGTTTGTTTTGTTTCTCGCAGGGAATGTGCCAGAAATTGGACAGAACAGTGGTGAAACCCACTTCCGCTTGGTTGAATTTTTCCACTGTGTGAAGAAGAGCACATGTATCAAGTGGTTCGGTTTTAAGGTGATGATCTTTAAACCTGTGAAAATTGCCCAAAGTTCTTCTGGTTTCGTGAATGAAAAAAAAACAATGATGAGGTTTTCTGTTCATATTTGGAATTAGAATTTTTCGGAACGCGATAAGAGTGAAGGAATTAGGCAATCATAAGACAGTTATTTAATTTAATTGCAGAACGTGAGTTAATGACCAGTCACCAACAAATCTTTCGCCAACGGCTGGTGACAGTCGTGTTTATCCTCACCTCGAAAGAATTCACTGCCGCATTCACAGCACAAATCGCGTGATTGGTGCGGTGGAATAGGACGAATAATTTTTGTAAACTCAGAATGAACCGAGAAGTAATGGCCGATAGCATCATACATCTAAGGATGTGACACTCATTGACAACTCCTAGTTTCTGTACCTCTGATCCTTCATTCTGTTTCGTGAACTTGATCGGTTATTTCAGCCTTTGTTTCGATCTACGCCACCCTGATTAAAACTCCCACAGCTGTAGAGCAAAGGTCGTATTTTCACAAAAAAGGACAGAGTTGTGAGCAAATCATCGTCACTTTTACCAATGAATCCGCAGACAAATACTGTAACACCTGTTTTCCACTGACCACAAAGATGATTCTGGTGGTCGGTAGTCAGTACAACATACTACTGAAGCATTCGGAAGAAATAGGCTGTGAATACATCACAAGGAGCACACAGCTCACAGGAGTGAGTAACTGCCTCGTCCGTCCATCGACGACGAACTGTGGTCTCCCGTATGTCTCTCCATCATCTCCCCGGCCAGTAGGAACTCTCTGATGATATGGTGTTTGCGTGTAATTTTCGTATGAATTTTTTAAGTAACTGAGTGCAAGCCTAAAGATATATATCGCCGACAAATTTCACAGTCTTAATTTTGATTGCATTCAGCAAATCCAGTAAAACCAGGTTAGTTTTATACAGTGAGTTGCAAGAAGTTGGAAAGTTTATAGAATTCGCATTTACGAATTCATTACGAGATTAGGACTGTTTAAACGACAGTGAGGTAAACGTGAAATACACAAATGCCCTAAAACTAACCGAAATGCGTCGAGCTTCTGTCATGCGCCCGTAGCACCACCTGAATGGAATGCTTCGACGGTCTGCTCAGATGATCGATACAACCAGGTCAGCCCGTGGGTCGCCGTTCGAAACTCTGGACAAGCTAGCCACATTGCTCAGGCTTGGATACGTTCACCTTTTCTAAGGTGACAAGTCAGGTGCGTCCAGCGCATGCCGGTAGCGCAGTTTAACGCCTTTGCAGAGTTCAAACACTGACACGACCAAGGATACGAAACTCGTGACCCGTGCTCACCCCTGTGAGGTGAACTCACCGGAATGATTAAGCCAGGACAGGAGGACGGTTATTCAAACGAGAGTCGTGTGTACGCATTCTACAAATCCCGCAACCACTATCAACTGAAACATCTGTCCAGTAGTTTTCATAATGGAAACTATTCACAAGGTTGCTGAAAACTCTTCGACAGCCCACGACCGGTTTCGTCCTTCTTGAGGCTAGTCAGGTAGGCGCAGTCCCCGAGTTTCCGTCAACCTTATGTTCTACTTGAACCCAAATTGGACTGCTTGCGACGAGTACACTCATCTGCGAATCAATTTGGTTCTCACAAGAGACTCAACTGAATCTCTTGTTTATGATATTCTACAACTGAATGTGCTGCACACAGGCCGTCTCATGATATCTCGAATATCGTGCCAACTGAATCATGAGGCGGCCTGCGTGCAGCACATTCAGCTATAGAATATCATAACCGAGAAATTCAGTTGAGTCTCTCGTGAAAACCAAGTTGATTTGCAAATGGGTGTATTTCTCAAAATGTGTCCAGTAGATTTCAAGCGTCAGTGGCGCTACCTGACGGGGAAGCCCTGACAGGTGAGCAAGGCGATCGGCACACCAGTCGGGGCATCGGGCTTTCCTCTCACGCTACTCAAGAGCGAACACATTCACCTGTTCAGACATGAAAACTCAGATGCTTCCAGCATACGCTGGTGGGGTAGTAGCAGCACACTCACCCCGCATGTCAAATGTGCGTAGTTCGAACTCCCGCATGAACAAGGAGATGCACTGCTGATGAGCTCTAATAAGAGCGAAGCTCGAGTCCAATGCTCCCCCCTTTGGTGTGTACGAACCATGATCCACACCAAGATGGCATGGAACGGTTCGGACAGCGTGTATGCGCTGCTGATGGTGATTATCACACTTTACGTTACTTGCTTCGATTAGATGATTGGTTTCTCAAGCGTAAAACCAAAAAACCAAAAGAATGAAATGACAGCCACAAAATTGTTTCGCGCACGACACATGTAATAGGGGGTGAGTACAAAAGATTCGGTTAGTTTGCAACACAATGAAGACACAATCGATGCCCGCTGAGCACCTAGCGAAATCGTCAAATCATTCTGCCTGTCGATTTTAATTAAGAGTTAAAAAAGCGCCCAAATGGGAAAAGCACTTTCACGATGAAGCTGGTAGATGAACTGAAGTAATATGCTACGACAGGCAGTAAAATCTTTGGGTAGAATGTTCGACACGAGGCTGAAATGTCCGCTAGGTTCGTTCACCAACCAAAAACAAGCAAATATAATGTGCTCGGAAAACTTCAAGCAAGGATCAGTAAGCGACAGGAATTCGGAGAAAAGAGAGGGTTTGTTTGCCAGTAACTGGTGTGTGTGATTGGTTGCTGTTGAAAACCTTTTCCTCTCCAATGGCCCTCACAATAACTCTTGGTCATATGATACGCGAGGGGTACCAAGCCACACAAGATTGGGCAAACTTCTGTTTAACCTTTAACCTGGCTTGAGAATACTGCAAAGTTTATCAGTAAGTTCGAGCACCCAGATCGATAATTCTTAAAGCGTCACACTACTAGGGGTCCTGGAAATTTGTGCAACATCTGAAGACCCAGTTCTGGTGATTAGGTAATTGTCTACAGGGACCGTCTACGTTCGGTGTACTGCGGCTTAAGAACACTCGATTAAAAATTTGGCCTGTAACAGAACACACTACTCACACGGTGGCTGAAAACTATTCGACGGCCGATTTTGTCCCGTTTGTGGAGCTCCAAGTTGACGCAGTCTCTGAGTTTCTAACAACCCCATATTCCAGGAAAGTGGCACAAATTATCAACAGTTTTACACAAAACACAATGCTGCCCAGAACTTACTGGAAGAAAATATGGCTAGTCTCTAACGGTAAACTGTGTGGCCGCGAGCTAATGACCGTTTGTTGTTGATCAACTATTTTCCATACGTTTCTATGAACCTTGCAAATTTGGGGATTATGAATCACGGAACTTTTCTACTTCCGCTACTACAAAATAGGATAATAATCATTCGATTTTCCACAAAAATTAAAAAAACGGTGTTTTTTGTTGGTGCAGATAATTTGGGCGCAGAAACAACGAAATCAGCTTCAAAGGATTTAAATTTCTCAACTTGGATGCGTTGCAACGCCTCACGAATACGGATAAGCAAAACCGCTATATATAATTTTCCCGAGACCATAATCAAACTGCACAACTCTCTCGAAAACGAATACTTTGCTTGTGAAGTGTTTTTTTTCATAGGATAGACACCTCCCCATTATTAGCATATTTCTATAAACCTTCAAATTAGTTTCCTAAGAAACTAATGGATGTGTTTGTGTCAATATCGCCAACAATTGGATACCCTCGGTCCATGAATTTCGCTCTTGACTAATCGAATTGGAAATGAGCCAACGAATGGGTAGAACGCCTACGCAGAAAAGGTGAAATTGCCTACTTCACTCAAGGATGTCTGCTAATCGAGCCACAAGTGGATTTGCTGAGTGCAACGCATTAACTAGCTTGAAAATATTTATGCGTTAAACTGTCCAGACAACCATGGTGAAGTTGCTAGCGGATGGAACAGAAAACAACAGATGTTAAAAGATCATGTTCGAGCAGGAGGCCATCCATTAGGTTATTTTGTGGTAAAGTTGCTAGATTGTGGCGTGGTCGTGGCGTTTTTAGGGGTTAGTGACAAAACGGGAAAGACCATCAGTGTGCAGCTGAACTTTAAAGCATGTGACAGCACACAGAAATGAATCGTTGTATGATACGGTATCTGTTTACCTGTACACCATATAAGGGCATCGGATAGTTAAGACTCAATCAGAGACTTCAACAGTGCCCACCGAATATAGCAAAACTTTGGCCCCTTAACTTTTACGTGATGATAGAACGTGTAAAGCACAGAGCTTCACATGGATGAAGGCCAATCGATGAGACCAGTGTTGATCGTGCGCTAACTACTGTATTCGCCATGGGATATGCATTGTCCATTCAAATCTAAAGGGTAATCATTTCTGCCTAGGTGGGTGATATAGTACAGTGGTTTAACATCACCCGGAAGGGTTGAGATTCCGTTACGGGACACGAAGTGTTTGCCAGCTGAGTCACGGAATCCTCTGTCTATGAGATGGAACAATTTCGTCATTCCTCCAACCGAAGCATGCTATGATTCGCAGCTTTTGGTTGATGCCTTTTTCCAACGAATTATCACCTCCATTTATTTGTGTTGTGTGTCACTAGGTCGCAAATGCAGTGGCTTTCAGATCAAGCTAATTTTCCTTTGCTGGCACGAAATTTGGAAATCGGAAAGGTTGATAGGCCCAAATATGTCTTTATCGGCTTGCAAACTGTTTCATTGTCTCGGGGAGTAAATTTGAGATCCAGAAAGGCAGGTCTGTCATTCCCCCAGTGCTCACCCGTTGGTCCGATATTTTCATGACCGGTGTCCACTGCAATTATCCTGTGCTCACAGAGATGTCGTCTAAATAAATTTTATAGAATTTAGTCCGCCAAGTAGGGTCCTTCACTGAGATTTCTTCGCTGCCCATAAATACTCCTTCTGCAGAGGGAGAAATCATGATTACTGGGGAGACATTTAAACAGTATGCAATCGAGACTCTCAAAAGTGAAATTAGCTGCAAAATAAGAGTAAACTGCAAAGTATGGTTTCTGATATTCGATGTATGATATCCTTGTTGTGAAAAAAGTGGCATATTGATTCCAAGGTTCCATCTCAGATTATATTCGGCAACAAAAACCTGTTTTCCATGTTTGAATGATACCGATCTTCCACTTTCATTTGTACTGACAATGTTGCTGGACTCTTTTTTTGTATGCGTACCCATTTAACCTATTTAGGCTGAGATCTGTCCGAGAGAAGTACAGTTGAATCAAATCGTCAGTGTGGCAGGCCCACACGCATTTGTAAAACACGACATGGATCGAGGTTTAAATACGTTGCAGTTAGCTTCACTTCAATGTTCATTTTGAGGGAATCGGTTGCGCTCAACGTATGATAACAAACTGGACTGGTCCGTCTCTAAAACCCAAACGGTAACACCAAACGAACGTGCATATCTGTGTACCACGTGCACCAGGTTGGAACTCGAGGTGCCCAAAAGCAGATTGTGACGTCCAACTTTTCTAGTTTTTTTTACAGGGAATGAATTCATTGGGAAGGATCATCTGATTGGTTGTGACAAAGTAAGTGTAATTCTTAATTTGGTCTTTGATACGTCATGCTTCTTCGACCTTCGAACTCCGCGTTGTTCTTAGTGACAGAGTGGAAAATTTTGTATATTGAAATGTGTAGTTCAAGTACTCGTCATAAGTAATAGACCTTACCTGATGGTGAAATTCCCGAAGGCTGGCGGTTCTTTTTTGAACCCTGAGGCATGTTCGTTTCTTTCATCTGATGAGCACATGGTCTTCGCGTTTCTAGATTTAACATAATCTTAGTTCACTTCCATCAATTTGTGCATTCGGTTTTCAAAGGCAAAATGCCGTGAAAGCGTGTATGATATTTTCAAAATTGAAAGCCGTTCGGTTGATAAAACATGTGATTCCGATACCGAAATAGTGGAGCGAAGTCAGTCGACATTTTCGTACAATTTAATGTTGGTAACCCCGCTCAGGGTCCATACGGCACTCGAAAATGCCCCCCTCTACGATGGGATGTCCCACTGAGGGGACATTTTTCGTCGTTGAGATTTCTGTCCGCTCTCACAGAACCGAAACTGTTTGGTGGACTGTCCGATCTCGAAATGCCTGGAGCACTCATCAGGAGCATTCAGCACAAAAATCGATCAGTTTATTGCAGTGCTGGTTTCTACACCGTCTGTCAGAATGTGAATAGCTCTAGTTTGCCTCACTGAGTTTGGTTAAGCTGTTCAGATGTCGCTTTCCCTGCAATTGCGTTCATTTTACTTGTCGATTATCCGCTATCTCGTGGTTTAATTGTAGGAACGTGTAGTGTGGCCCAAGCAAATTGTGTGCTTGTGACGTACACGCGAAATGCGATATTTCAGTGTCGTCACTTGTCGTTATCCGAGAGAAACTTGAGAGTGAGATCGACTGTGCATTGTGTGGCAATGAATTTAAACGACGGTACACTGTCTTTTGGTAACTTATTTGGGTGGTTTATTCGAACAGTCGGATTCATGAGGAAACCTGATTCTCACTATCGTCACTGCTGTGACAGTGGAACGTCGATATTTTAGGTTCATCTTCCTGCACAGCAGTATTACTACATTTTGAGACCGGTCGGTCTGCCCGAGCCCACTAAATCATGCAAGTAAATGCTATGTGATCAACGAAACCACCAAAATCGTTGAATGGAAACAGAATTGCCCGTTTAATCCTTCCAAATTGTGGAACACGTGCGGTAACCGTTGAGATCACTGAGGCCTCTTTCAGCTAGCGTGGGTGCAATATGAGTACAGAGCAATGTGGTATCGTTATGTCGGATGGATTCTCTTTGGAAGAGCGACTCACGCAAGCTACACAGGTCTTGACAACAAAACTTCTTATCGATGCACGGAATCATGCCACTAAGTGGTAAAAGTAAGACAGTTCAAAGGTGCAATGGCAGTTGACTGCAGTTAACCCCCGAATGCAGACAATGAACACTGAGAGCTCGGCAAAACGTAGAATGGAAAAAAGCACTTTGAGTTTCTCCGAAAAAAACACGCAAAGCAAAATTTCCATCTTTCTTCACAGGGGAAAATTACTGAAACATTGTAAGAACACACAAGCAACGGCAGTTTCCTTAGGTAGAGGTGGAAATTAGTGAAAACTGTTGATTAAATGTAGTTTACAAAGAAGAACCCCCTGCAACGAAGTAGTATGATATCCATCCGTAGTGTTTTCTTCAGGGAAAAATACCAAAATCATAATGCGTGTGGTATGAGCTTGTTGTTCTCCCTACAAGAGCACCCTCTATTGAACAGAGACCCAGTTAGTAAGACCACATAGATGAAATCCTAGTGAGAAATGAAGGGAAAACCATTCCGCTTTACATGGAGTGCACTCGAAACTTATTGGACAAACTGGGAGGAAATTATGCACACGAATAAAGGAACACAACGCGGCCGTCCGGGAGACATGAACCCTTATCATTAATATCCATACACGAAGACCAAGAAGGCCACAAATTCAATATAGAAAACTTGGAAATCTTGGCATATGCTTACACGAGGCACGGAAGGGAATCTCTGGAGCTGTGGTATTCTATGGCTGATTTGATCAACCGATGAACTAAACTGCCAAATAGCGGATTCACAAACCAAGACACAAGGAACTGCGTGAAGTCGGATCGACAAAGGTCACAAGCCGGAACCCAGAGAGGTCAACGACAGAGGTCACTAAAGTATCGATCAGAGCACGACGGCAGAAGAAGCCAAGCTCACACTTCACGTGGTCATCGATCAATCACGACACAGGATAACAGAACAACCAATGGAACCGACCGACCGACTAACCGGTCGTGATCGAAGGTCACCCCTCGCTAGCAGCTTGTATATTAACACACACACACACACACACACACACACACACAACACTACTCAACGCACAACCACCAACCCATTGCTAANCACTGATGATGTCACCTCGATTGGTGATGTGAAGCTTGCAATCCAATTGCCCAACTCAGTGAACAAATCAACGACCAGTTATTGACTTCCTACTTATTTATCATCATCGAGCATGATGAACGAGCGGTTCAGCTGGGTTTCAGGTGAGCCTCCCACAAAAACAAATTGGTTTGCAACTGAGTGTATTTCGCTAATTTCGTGCAATTTGTGTTTATGTGGGACACAGGGTCGACGGAAATCCTGGGACTGCCTCTACTATTTCGCCAACAAGGTTTTAGCTTATCGAATCTCTGGCTGAAGAACACCATATACGTGATATTCCATTGGAATCCAGCTGATTCTCCCCGCTTCGCAAACCAATTGGCGTGCAAATGAGTGTATTTTTAATTTTCGTACATTCCTAGTTCAAGTAGGATGTAAATTCCGCGAAAGCTCGGGGACTGCACCTCTTTGACGGCCACGAATTCCTGCGAAGCCAGTGGTGGGGTTTTGGGCACAACAATGGGCAGTGATCCTGTTGGTTTTTCAGTGGGTATCATCCCCATGAGTTTAATCATTCCAAAATCTTTGTCCTCCAATGTTGTAGTTGGGGACAGGGAATATACCATTTGAGACTTCAGGTTCACCACAAAAGTGTCAAACATTGGAAAGGTGAAGCCATCATATGTCAGCAGACCCAACCACACGAGTGGAAGCAAGGACATTTGAATTCTGGTAGCAGAGACATAAGCACTCTTGCTAGTGATTCGCATCCATCTTGATTCACCTCTGGCCCTCACTTTGTAGTCTCAAGTTTCACTTCTGCAAAATAAAGTGAATACATTTCTGTATTGCACTACTCATAAGGTTGCTGAAAAGAAAACGACAGTCCACGATCGGTTTCTCCCTTCCTGGGGCTCACCAGGTAGGCGCAATTCCCAAGTTTCCGTCAACCTTATGTTCTACTTGAAATCAAATTGGACGAAATTAGCGAAATACACTCATTTGCAAACTAACTTGGTTTTTCGAGAGACTCACCTGAAACCCAGCTGAGTCACTCGGTTGTGATGTTTCCATGCATGAATACATAAATTAATATAATTCAGTGAAGAATTGTTCTCCAATGTGCACCCCTCAATTATCACTTCAGTGTGATTCGCCGTTACCTGTTCGGGATACCGCTTCGATCTCATTTGGTTAATGTCTTGGGATGTAAAAATAATGTATCATAGAGAAAAAAATCCCGGTCAACCAACTGAATGTGACATTTCAAGATTACTCTGTGTGATATGACCGTTAATTACGTGACGTAATTCTATGTTTGTCTACTCCTCAGACAAATTAATTGCCCCTCAGATGACTCCTCAAGTTTCAAGGCTGAACCATTATACTTTATACAAAGTCGACTCTATACTGAGTTTTTTTTCCATATTAACTATTCTCGTGACTCGATTTACTCGCATTCATTTCTGGGTTTGTTGTTGAATATTTGAACTGTCCGACATTTTTCCCGTTTCTGTGCTCTTTCTGTGCCATACTGTGTTGCAAACTGCCCGAGGTTCAATCTAGCCGTAAGCTTTCCTTCAATTCTGCTCATTATTTACTGTTGATTTTTTATCGAGCCACGGTCTACCTATCTATACTGTCTGTCCACGTTTCATTCAATATAATGTTAGCTGCGCAGTTGTGACTGCTGAACAAACGCAGGTGAACTTCGTAGAATTCGGTCTCTCCGTAATTATTACTGGCCATCCATCGTTGAATCAGACCGAAGGTTGCATGTCAGATGGGACACCTAGATCGTGCGTTTAGGTTAATTGATCAATACCTTGCCTTGAGATCACGGCCTTGGTACAGTATCGCACAGTGACTTTTGTTATTCAAAGATAACTTCAGATATATCCTGTGTACTTTCGAATTAAACACACTGCTGGTCAACCAGAATAGCTTAGTTTTTAACTACTAGCCGGGAGAATCTTGAGATGTGCACCGATGATAAAACCCGATAAGAATTAAATGACTCTAAAGTGTTTACCGTTCATCTGACGAGAAGCGATCTCTACTGGAAAGTTCTTAATCTCGGAGCGTAATAGCGCCAGATTTGAGAATTTTCAATCAAACATTTACGAGGATTACCCGTGGGAGGAACTGTTTAATTCAGAGTACATTTTGGCGAATATTAGTGCTTCCGTCACCTCTTCTTCTTATTAGCACACATTCGAACATACGAAATGTAGAATAATGAGTTTGAGAGGTGAGTGTCCGTCGGGGGCTGAAACTTAATATAGACCATGAGAAAAACTTGGCAGTGCGTTGCAGATGGAGCGACCGGATGCATGAAGTGACCTTCCGAAATGATGGAAAGTGGACAGACGCGGCATCGGTGTTGTGCGTTGATGCGATGGAAGTTGGAAGTTTCTCTCGCAGTCGAGAAATTGGCAAGGCGAAACAAATGCGCGTAACCTCAGCCTGAATGAAGTATGGATAAACTCAATAGAAACGGCCAACTGTCACGTCGGATACGTAGGTTGTTTGTCGCGAACGGGTTAACCAATTATTAGTGCACACCTATTAGTGCTAACTTGAGACACCTATGGCGTCAG